GGCAACTGTGACACGCTGTTATTCACTGCGATCACCACTCTGTACATTCCATCTCATGGCATTGCTTTTTTCTTTTTCTCTCTCTTTTTCTTTTTCTTACTCAAAGACTTCAGCAGACACTTTAATATTCCTCATGTGTCAGTCCTTACTATACATTAAAAAGAAAGTGTTTCATCCTTAGTGGTGATATATTAGACTTTATACATGTTTCTCACTTATTCACATCTCCATTATTTCTTAGTGCTCCTTTTGGCCTTTTGCAGTTAGGTCTGTTTCTGAAGGTTGCATCACCTTTGGCCATCACCTAGAAGGGATTTTTCTTTACCATTTAACTAAAGATCACCTTTTCATTCTATAGGTTATTTGGATCCATAGATCTTTACTTAAGGTGAAATTACTCCTTAGTTACTGCTTCCCCCCATGTCATAAATGCCCTTCTGACATACCCTTTTATTTCAAAGTCTTGGGCAATTTAATCTCAAATCAGAATTAGGGAGCCTTTTTAAAATGTTTTATTTAAATTTGATTTGCCAACATATAGTATAACACCCAGTGCTCATCTCATCATGTGCCCTCCTTAGTGCCCATCACCCAGTTCCTCCATCACCTCACCCTTCTCCCCTTCTGCAACCCTTTGTTTGTTCCTCAGAGTTAGGAATCTCTCATGGTTTGTCTCCCTCTCTAATTTTTCCCCACTCAATTATCATATGATTTCATTCATATGTGGAATATAAGAAATAGTGAAAGAATTAGTGACCCTTTTTGGTGTCATTAAATTACTGTTCCTGTAGTTCTTTATATAAGTCAGTAGTAGATTTTCATTCCATTTTACTCTTTTCATTCAATACAGTTGTTTAGAAACAATAGACTTAACTGAATGTCATTCTCATTGACACTCATTGTTCCATAAGTTCTTAGTTTCTTTTACAACTTCTCTTCCATTTTATGCATGTATACATATTCATGCATTTTCATACAAATGCTTCAATAAGATCCTATGCACATAATAAATGCTCTTTATGTTTTAGTGCAATCTTTTTTTTCTAACTTGTGTCCACTTTTCCTTTATTCTCAACAATTTCCCATGGACTTGCTTCCAATCAACTAATATCATCCTAGCTCCTGATGTCATGTCTGTGTAACATTTCATGGTGTGGCAGTGCTATTCACATAATCAGTGGCCATTCATATTTTTTCTGAAAGAAATACTATCATGTCACTGCTACAAATATATTTGGAGATTGTTAAGTTAAAACCAGTCTTCTCAACCAGCAGCCATCTTGTTGCTCAAGGAACATTGAAGCAATATCCAGACATGTTTCAGTATCACACTGGAGGGGGCAGGTGGTGGTCAAGGATGCTACAGTGCATAGGGAGACCCTCCGCAGAGAAGGATCTGGTCCAGAATATCAGTCAGTGCAGAGGTTAAGAAAAATAAAAAAATATCTTTTACTCTTTTACCCTTATATTCTTACTCTTTTGTTTTTATATTTAACAACTTCAGGTTGTTTCCCCATTGTTCCACAATTCTTATTTCTTCCAGCAAAATTAGAGATTTCCCCTTTCACTGTGAGTTAAGAAGTTCCAGCCCCAATCAACATGGTAGCACTTCCTGGGCTTTCCTAGATGGCGGGCATGAGAGAGAAATCTTTTTTGTAGTTTTCTCAAACTATCACTCACCTTGAGCAATGATTTGTATATTAGATCCCCATTGGTGATTATTATTATTATTATTATTACTATTATTTGTCCATACATTGCATCCCTATTTCCCACCCTTAACTGCATTTCAAATGACTTTTACAAAGTTGTTATTATTAAACCAATTTTTGGTTGGTTTTTTTTTTTTTTACCATAAAAATTGTTTTAATTTTATGGAGTTCTATATGTCTTCCTTTTTCTTCTGATTTTCTCACTTAATCATATGGTTTTGCCCACTCGTAGATTTTAAATGCACTTCTTTCTATGTTCATCTACAAAGGATTGTTTACTTTCATACTGGTATCTTTAATCCCTCTGATTTTTTTTTAAAGGTAGGTAAAATAACAATGGAATATTACTCAGCCATTAGAAATGACAAATACCCACCATTTGCTTCTACGTGGAGGGACCTGGAGGGTATTATGCTGAGTGAAATAAGTCAATCGGAGAAGGACAAACATTATATGATTTAATTCATATGAGGAATATAAAAAATAGTGAAAGGGATTACAGGAGAAAGGAGAGAAAATGAGTGGGAAATATCAGAGAGGGTGACAGACCATGAGAGACCCCTAACTCTGGGAAATGAACAAGGGGTGGTGGAAAGGGAGGAGGGCGGGGGGTTGGGGCGACTGGGTGATGGGCACTGAGGGGGGCACTTGATGGGATGAGCACTGGGTTTTATGCTATATGTTGGCAAATTGAACTCCAATAAAAAGAAATTTAAAAAATAAATAAAGGTGGGTAAAATAAAGAACCAATTCATTTACTTCTGGACAGATAGCCACTTGTGGCAGCTTTTATTCAACAGTCCAATCTTCTCTGATTGAAGTACAACTGTCCTATATGTTAAATGTCCATGTCTACTGGGACCTAATTCCTAACTTATTCAGCAAATCATTACAGAACAATCATTATGTGCCAGAAAGTTCTAGATACATTTTATGATATATTCTCTTATGTCAAGGTGTTCGCTAAATTAACTACTATTAACTAATTAATATTGATACTATTCAGTTAGTGTTTGGTATTTCATATTTAGTTTGTTTTTCACATTCCTTTTAGTTTTCTTTAATACAGTTGTGTAAAATCACCCTAGGCAATGGGTTTCATCTCCTTTCCCATTCTTCTTATTCTGTAATTCTCATTTTCTTAAATGTGCTTTTATATAAAGACACATCTACTCCCATAGTTTGAGAAAAACAAAATAAACAATGTAGATGAAGTGCCTGCTCACTTGGTACTGCACACAGTGCCAAAGGCAGAGCGCAATAAAATAAATGTGTATGTCACATAATGTCCCCATGGAAAAATCACATGGAGAAGCTGTCTTGAGTAAGAGGATAGACTGTCATGGTGAGTGCAGGATGTAGCAAGCAGGACCTGGAGTGAAGACAGGAACCAGGACCAGAGAGTGTCCATTGGACTTGTCAAAAAGATCCAACCCAAAAAACCATAATAACAAAGAAAATATGTCACAAAAAACAAGTGAGGAAGGACTTGCTTCACCCCTCACTGGGCCGAATAACCAGTGCTTGGTCAAATAAATACACGCTGGCCACAGGCAAAGCAAGCCTTCTCCTCCATGATATTAAAACAGTCCAGCTGCTGTTCTTTGTATCTTTCCTGTTGCAAAGTGTTGGTTTATAGCTTTTGCTCATTTTTCTCTCACAGCATTCCATCTATAACATGTTTCACACCATGAAAATATCACTACTTTGGCTTTTCACTCCTTTATTATTTTTGCTGGACATCAAGGGGATCTAAGGAGGTCAGGAATGTCATCAGAACCAAAGACACTTTTTCTTCTCTTGGCCAGTCTCTCAGGGGCCACCTGTACTGTTGGATCTGTCTTCCCTCTCATGTCCATGTCATTCCTCTCTTCTCTCTGTCTTTATTGAGCAGATTGCCCATGTTTCTTTAAATTGGTATTAGGCAGAAAATGAGCATACCTATAGGCATCCCCAAGATTATTTGCCCATAGGAATTTCTGGGTACCATTTCTTCACTCTTCAGGTGAAGATAGAGACTAGCCAGGTTGATGTGTATCCACTACTGCTCTACATAGTGTGGGTGGGGATGAAAAAAATCATGGCATTCAGTAGAATAGGAGGCCATAGCAGGACAGTGCATGCGTGTATGTGTGCGCGTGCACTGATGGCAATCCTCAGAGCAGGGTTACCAGGGCTCACATCTAGACTGACTCTTATTAACAGAAGCCAGAACTCGATCATTAGTAGTTACTAACAGGGGTGTCCATTTCAATTCACAGGACATCTCTATAGCAAAATTAAGAAAGTCTTGCAAAACTAATAAGATGAGGGATTCCATGTGTCTTGAATTTTCAGCCATAGTGGGTGGCTGCTTCATTCCTCAACACACACTGCCACCATCTCTCATCGCACTCCTTCTTGCTTCTTCCCCTTGACACCCTGGCTCCTTTCGAGCCTTGGTTTTCTGAATCAAGCAGCTTCCTCAGGGCATTGGCCCTGGCTATTGCCCCTGCTGGGCACACACTTTCTGAGATTAACTCCACCTACTTTCCAAATTCCCTCAAGGTCTTGTTCACCTGTCACCTTCTTTGCAGGTCTTGTGGGAACATCCAGGAAAATAATAATAATAATAATAACACCCCATCAACTCTCTCTTTTATACCTGCTTTCCGTGTATTCACAGCTCCTCTCACCATCTGACATGTTATTTGTCTTTTTGTATTTGCTTATATTCTCTCTTAAACATAGGATTATAAGGGGATACCTGTGTGGCTCAGGGGTTGAGCATCTGCCTTCAGCTCAGGGTGTGAACCCAGAGTTCAGTTCTGGAATCGAGTCCCACATCAGGCTCCCTGCGAGAAGCCTGCTTCTCCTTCTACTTATGTCTCTGCCTTCTCTCTGTGTCTTTCATGAATAAATAAATAAAATCTTTTTTAAAAACCATAGGATTATAAGGACATTGTTTATCGGCACCCTGTATATATTGTCTATACATGGTCAATACTCAATACATTCTCCTTAAAGAAATGAAAAATATTCTCAATAAAACAAGAATATATATATATATATATATATATATATATATATATATATATATATATGTAAAGGATTGAGGTGGAAACAGAATTCCTGATGAGAAATGGTGCTAGGGATGCCCTAATGGGGACAAGACCACAAACATATATTGAAATTAATTTCTTGACTCTAAAATATGGTCAAGTAGTAAAACTTATGCTAGATTACTAATGCTTGCTTGTGTGAAATCAGTCATTTATTTTTCTATATCCTGGTAGTTACCTCCAACCCATGGAGCCAGGAAACCTTACAGGAGTTTCAGAGTTTCTTCTTCTGGGGTTTTCAGAAGGACCAGAACTGCAGCCCTTCATATTTGGGCTTTTCCTCTCCATGTACCTGATCACTGTGTTTGGAAACCTGCTCCTCATCCTGGCTGTCAGCTCTGACTCCCACCTCCACACCCCCATGTACTTTTTCCTTGCCAACCTGTCCTTTGTAGACATCTGTTTCACCTCCACCACCGTCCCCAAGATGCTGATAAACATCCAGACTCAGAGCAAAGTGATCACTTATGAAGGATGCCTCAGCCAGATGTATTTTTTCATACTCTTTGCAGGATTAGACATCTTTCTCCTGACTGTGATGGCTTATGACCGCTTTGTAGCCATCTGCCACCCCCTGCACTACTTGGTCATCATGAACCCTCGGGTATGTGGACTGCTGGTTCTGGTGCCCTGGATCATGAACATCTTGAATTCCTTGTTAGAAAGCATAATGGTGTTGCATTTGTCCTTCTGTACAGAGGTGGAAATCCCCCACTTTTTCTGTGAACTCAATCAGATGATACAACTTGCATGTTCTGACACCTTTTTCAGTAACATGGTGATGTATTTTGCAGCTGTGCTTCTGGGTGGTGTTCCTTTTGCTGGAATCCTTTACTCTTATTCCAAGATAGTTTCCTCTATACGTGGAATCTCATCATCTCAGGGAAAGTATAAAGCATTTTCCACCTGTGCATCTCACCTTTCAGTTGTCTCCTTATTTTATTGTACAGTCCTGGGAGTGTACCTTAGCTCTGCTGCTCCCCAGAGCTCCAACTCAAGTGCAGTGGCCTCAGTGATGTACACTGTGGTCACACCCATGCTGAACCCCTTCATCTACAGCCTGAGGAACAGAGACATTAAGAGGACTCTTATGAGATTTTCTAGAATGTCAGCTCTAAAATGGCCAACTGTTCTGGGCTGAAGAAGTGCCCATGATCGCAGAGCCCAATAACTTACAGTCAGAAGTTGTGATTTTCTTATACAGTTTGTGAAAGTAGAACTTGCCTCCTTTATTTATTTCCTGGAATTTCTATTTTATGATTTTTGACCTCTCTGCATAATGTATGTATAATATATATATATATATATATATATATATATATATATATATATATTATACACTTTATAAAGCTTTGTGATATCTCTGATATCCCAGAGATTTTCCATTTGTCATTCCCTACTTTCTCAATGTTATTTCTAACTTTGGATGTGAAATATTTGGAAATCCTCAGTTATTTCAAAGGACCACATGGATCTGTTAAGAATAATTTTTTCTCAAATAAAATGTATAATAGTGAGTATTCTTCTGTTTAACTGAGTACTACTCCTCTGGAAAATCTACTCCTAGCCACCACAGCTTTTATATAAGTTTATGACAGAGAAAAATCTGAGACCACTGTGCTTCACTTCTGTGAACATGATTCCTTTGTTTACCACTACATTAACTGCTCTTCCTAATAATGCAGACTTTGATGAAAAGTATTTCTTTCTCAGGCACTTCATCTACCAATTGAAATATGGAATATCAGGGTACATTTGTAAGATGTATTCATTAAGGGGAAAGACTGGTGGCATATTGCTGGTTTTATTAAATTGTTTTCTGGTTTCTGGTTGAAATTTTTCAGTGCTACATACAAATATGATTCCTTCCATTTCTCATAAATGAGATATCTTCCACTATTTGAAATTGTGTTATGAACTCTAAAAGGATAGCAAATGAACAGTATCATCCATTATATATGATCCTCATTACCACAGAATGACTCACCAGTAAGCTTGGATTTCTGTCCAGAATTCGACTCAGAGACAAAAGTTGTGCACCAATGCATGTCCTTCCAATCTTTCCATGTTACCTCAAAGGGGTCTAAGTGGTGTCATTTTATCTTTTTTTAAAAAAAATTTTTTTTTATTTATTTATGAGAGAGAGAGAGAGAGAGAGAGAGGCAGAGACATAGGCAGAGGGAGAAGCAGGCTCCATGCACCGGGAGCCCGACGTGGGATTCGATCCCGGGTCTCCAGGATCGCGCCCTGGGCCAAAGGCAGGCGCCAAACCGCTGCGCCACCCAGGGATCCCCAGTGGTGTCATTTTAAAAACAGTTATGTGAGATACACTTGAAGAACAGAATAATTATGAAAGATACCTTCAAGTATCAGAATAAACACCTAGAATAAAATACCCAGATTATTACAAATGCCCTAAGTTCTTCCTGATTTATTATATCACTTGTTGCTGCATGCAAAACATCCTAAAATAAAATAACTTAACATAATGTATTTATTATCAGGAATATTGTAGGGTAAGCAGTCCTTCAGATCTCTGCAGGGTTCCAGGAGTCCTTAGGCAGGTACAAATCTCTACACTGTGTTTCTAAGGCTCATCTATGAGGTGTATGGCTGCAGTACTCTTCTGTCTTGAACAACTTTATATTGTTTCTCTCCTTTTATATATGTAAGGTAATCTTCTAGGTAATAAAAAAAGTGAGTTTATCTGACAAATACCCACCATTTGCTTCGACGTGGATGGAACTGGAGGGTATTATGCTGATTGTAATAAATCAATCAGAGAAGGACAAACATTATATAATCTCATTCATTTGGGGAATATAAAAAATAGTGAAAGGGAATAAAGGGGAAAGGAAAAAAATGAGTGGGAAATATCAGAAAGGGAGACAGAACATGAAAGTCTCCTAACTCTGGGAAACGAACTAGGGGTGGTAGAAAGGGAGGTGGGCAGGGGGTGGGGGTGACTGGGTGACGGGCACTGAGGGGGGCACTTGATGGGATGAGCACTGGGTGTTATTCTATATGTTAGCAAATTGAACACCAATAAAAAAATTATAATAAAAAACAAAAACAAAAACAAATTAAAGGACTGAGCTACAAGATGATAAAAAGAAAGAGTGACAAGAGAGGAACTGATCCAGATTTAAAGGGATTAAAGACATTAAACAAAAAAGGGGGGGGATTGAGCGAAAGGAGAGAAATTGAATGAAAATATCAGTGAGGGTGCAAAACATGAGAGATACCTAACTCAGGTAAATGAACAAGGAGTGGTGGAAGGGGGTGGGGGGGCAGGGTTTGGGGTGATTGGGTGCTGAGCACTGAGGGGGGCACTTGGCAGGATGAGCCCTGGGTGTTATGCTATGTGTTGGCCAATTGAACTTCAATAAAAAAAAGAAAAGAAAAAAAAAGAAATGCCACTGATTTCTGGGCATTGATTTTGTATCCTGCCACATTGTCGAATTGCTGTATGAGTTCTAGCAGTCTTGGGGTGGAGTCTTTTGGGTTTTCTATGTACAGTATCATGTCATCTGCGAGGAGTGAGAGTTTGACTTCTTTGCCAATTTGAATTTCTTTTATTTCTTTTTGTTGTCTGTTTTCTGAAGGTAGGACTTCTAGTACTATGTTGAATAACAGTGTTGAGAGTGGACATCCCTGTCATGTTCCTGATCTTAGGGGAAAGGCTCTCAGTTTTTTCTCATTGAGAATGATGTTTGCTGTGGGCTTTTCATAAATGACTTTTAAGAAATTGAGGAATGTTCCCTCTATCCCTACACTCTCAAGAGTTTTGTTTAGGAATGGATGGTGTATTTTGTCAAATGCTTTCTCTGCATCTATTGAGAGGCTCATATGGTTCTTGTCTTTTCTTTCATTGATGTGATCTATCACGTTGAACGTTTTACAAGTGTTGAAGCACCCTTGCATCCTGGGGATAATTCCCACTTGGTCATGATGAATAATTCTCTTAATATACTGTTGGATCCTATTGGCTAGTACCTTAGTGAGAATTTTTCCATCCATGTTCATCGGGGATATTGGTCTATAATTCTCTTTTTTGTGGGATCTTTGGTTTTGGAATTAAAATGATGCTGGCCTCATAAAACAAGTTTGTAAGTATTCCCTCTCTGTCCTTTAAAGAGATTTAGTAGAATAGGAATTATTTCATCTTTAAATAGGTATTATTTCACCTACAGAATGGGAGAGGATATTTGTAAATGACAAACAGGTAAATTATTAGTATCCAAAGTATATAAGGAACATATCAACCTGAACACTGAACAAAAAAATAATCCAGTTAATATGTGGGCAGCAAAGATGAATAGACATGTTTCCAAAGACGTCCTGATGGCTGACAGACACATGAAAAGATGCTCAACATCACCATCATCATGGAAATAAAAATCAACTCTACCATTAGATATTAACCTCACACCAGTCAGAATGACTGAAATTAATCACACAGGAAACAAGAGATATTGGTGAGGATGCGGAGAAAGGGAACCCTCTTACACTGTTGGTGGGAATGCAAACTGGTGCAGCCACTGTGGAAAACAGTATGAAGGTGCCTCAAAAAGTTGAAAATAAAACTACCGTATAATCCATAATTTGCACTCCTAGGTATTTACCCAAGAATTTTTTAAATTCTATTAATTCTATTTTTAATACCGATTCAAAAAAATAACATTTAGCAGCATTTTCTATAATAGTTAAACTTTGGAAACTGGCCAAGTGTCCATCAGCTAATGAATGGATAAAGAAGTAGTAGCATATAAATAGAGTGGAATATTACTTTTAAAAAGGTGAAAGAGAGTGGTCTAGTTTCATTCTTCTGCATGTGGATGCCCAATTTTCCCAGCACCATTTATTGAAGAGACTGTCTTTCTTCCAGTGGATAGTCTTTCCTCCTTTATCGAATATTAGTTGACCATAAAGTTCAGGGTCCACTTCTGGGTTCTCTATTCTGTTCCATTGATCTATGTGTCTGTTTTTGTGCCAGTACCACACTGTCTTGATGACCACAGCTTTGTAGTACAACCTGAAATCTGGCATTGTGATGCCCCCAGATATGGTTTTCTTTTTTAAAATTCCCCTGGATATTTGGGGTCTTTTCTGATGCCACACAGATCTTAAAATAATTTGTTCTAACTCTCTGAAGAAAGTCCATGGTATTTTGATAGGGATTGCATTAAACGTGTAAGTTGCCCTGGGTAGCACTGACACTTTCACAATATTAATTCTTCCAATCCATGAGCATGGAATATTTTCCCATCTCTGTGTGTCTTCCTCAATTTCTTTCAGAAGTGTTCTTTAGTCTTTAGGGCATAGATCCTTTACCTCTTTGGTTAGGTTTATTCCTAGGTGTCTTATGCTTTTGGGTGCAATTGTAAATAGGACTGACTCCTTAATTTCTCTTTCTTCAGTCTCATTGTTAGTGTATAGAAATGCCACTGATTTCTGGGCATTGATTTTGTATCCTGCCACGCTATCAAATTGCTGTATGAGTTCTAGCAATCTTGGGGTGGAGGCTTTTGGGTTTTCTATGTACAGTATCATGTCATCGGCGAAGGGGGAGAGTTTGACTTCTTCTTTGCCAATTTGAATGCCTTTAATGTCTTTTTTTTGTCTGATTGCTGAGGCTAGGACTTCCAGTACTATGTTGAATAGCAGTGGTGAGAGTGGACATCCCTGTCTTGTTCCTGATCTTAGGGGAAAGGCTCCCAGTGCTTCCCCATTGAGAATGATATTTGCTGTGGGCTTTTCGTAGATGGCTTTTAAGATGTTGAGGAATGTTCCCTCTATCCCTACACTCTGAAGAGTTTTGATCAGGAATGGATGCTGTATTTTGTCAAATGCTTTCTCTGCATCTAATGAGAGGATCATATGGTTCTTGGTTTTTCTCTTGCTGATATGATGAATCACATTGATTGTTTTATGCGAAAAAGGAATGAAATCTTGTCACTTACAGTGATATGGAGGGACCTAGAGTATATTATTGTAAGCAAAATAAGTCAGAGAAAGATGAATACTGTATGATTTCACTTATATCTGGAATTTAACAAACAAGACAAATGATCATGGGGGGAAAAAGAGACATAGAAGCAAATCAAGACATAGGCTCTTAACTCCAAAGAACACAGTGCTGATTGACAGAGGAAAGTGGGTGAGGGGATGAGTGAAGTAGGTAATGGGGATTAAGGAGTGCATTTGCCAAGATGAGTAACAGGTGTAATGTGGAAGTGTTGAATCACAAAATTGTACAACTGAAAGTCACATTACACTGTATGTTAGCTAATATGAATTTAAATTGAAGTTTAAAAATAAAGAGTTACAAATAAATAAATGAAAGCCGTTTCCTTGAAAATTATTATGTTATTTTTCTACCTTCCTAATAGTCATCTCCACCACATGGAACCAGGAAATGTTACACGAATTTCAGAGTTTCTTCTTCTGGGATTATCCGAGGAACCAGAACTGCAGCCCCTCATATTTGGGCTTTTCCTCTCCATGTACCTGATCACTGTGTCTGGAAATCTGCTCATCATTGTGGCCGGCAGCTCTGACTCCCACCTCCACACCCCCATGTACTTCTTCCTTGCCAACCTGTCCTTTGTAGACATGGTTTCACCTCCACCACCGCCCCCAAGATGCTGTGGAACATCCAGACTCAGAAAAAAATCATTAACTATGCAGGCTGCATCAGCCAGATGTATTTTTTTCCTACTATGTGCAGAGT